TGGAACTTGAAGAGTCTTGAGGCCTTAGACATGAGTAATTGCTACCTCGAGGGTCCAATCTCTTCCAATATCAGTCATTTAACCAATCTGGTTTCTTTGACTCTTGCAAACAATCAAATCAATGGATCCATTCCTTCAGAAATGGGGAATCTAAAGAATTTGGTTTCTCTGGATCTGTCTAGCAACCGGCTTGTGGGTCTAACACCGTCCTCTCTTAGACATTTAACCAGTTTGACAGTTTTAGACCTCAGTTTCAATCCATTTAGTAGCTGCATCCCTCCAGAATTTGGGGAATTGACGAATCTCACTGATCTCCGCATGAGTCACTGTGGACTTCTTGGTCCGCTCCCTCAAACTTTGGGTCAGTTGACAAATTTGAGATACTTGTTTCTTCATGGGAATCAAATCAGTGGCCCCATACCCTTGGAACTGACAAAGCTTAAGAACTTGATTGTTTTGGAGCTTTGGCTAAACAATTTAGGGGGTTCAATCCCTTCATTTTTGGGTCTCTTGTCCAATTTGAGGACCCTGCGCCTTAGATCAAATTCTTTGGAGGGCTCCCTCCCACCAAACATAGGAAATCTAAGTAATTTGGAAATTCTGAGTCTTGGTTTAAATAAATTAACAGGTCAAATCCCTTCCTCTTTGTCTCGTTTGTCCAATTTGCAGTATTTGTATCTTCAAGAAAACAGTTTAACAGGTCAAATCCCTCCATCTCTAGGTCTCTTGTCTAATTTGTCAATTTTGTATCTTTCTTCAAATAACTTGAATGGTTCTATCCCTCAGAATTTAGGAAGTCTATATAATTTGCAAGAATTGGATCTCAGTAATAACAAAATAACTGGTCATATTCCTTCAGTATTGTCTTGTTTGTCCAATTTGTCATATTTGTCTCTTTATTCAAATAACTTGGATGGTTCTATCCCTCAAAATTTAGGAAGTCTATATAATTTGCAAGAATTATATCTTAGTAATAACAAAATAACTGGTTGTATCCCCTCATCTCTATCTCGTTTGTCCAATTTGCTGCATTTTAATCTTTATGAAAACAATTTAACAGGTCAAATCCCTCCATCTCTAGGTCTCTTGTCCAATTTGTCAAGTTTGTATCTTTCTTCAAATAACTTGAATGGTTCTATCCCTCAAAATTTAGGAAGTTTATATAATTTACAAGAATTGGATCTTAGTAATAACAAAATAACTGGTCATATCCCTTCCTCTTTGTCTCTTTTGTCCAATTTGCACTCTTTGAATCTTGGTGCAAATCATTTACAAGGTTTCATTCCTTCTGAAATTGGAATTATGACCAATCTATCGTTTTTGAATCTTGGCACTAACAACTTCAGTGGTTCAATTCCGCCCACCATACTGCATTTACCCAACCTGGATACATTGTGCCTTGATTCAAATCATTTAGAAGGTTCAATACCCAAAGAGATTGGGCATTTGGAATCTTTGCAGTATTTGGACCTTTCCCTAAACAGATTGAGTGGTCACCTCCCAACACAGCTTGAGAATTGCACCCTTTTGCAACTACTGTCTTTGAGCCACAATTCCATGGGCGGAGACCTCCCCTCTGAAATAGGAAATATGAAGAATCTATATATGTTAGATCTTAGTGACAACCATTTCACTGGTCCAATTCCTTCCACTCTAGGTCAGTTAACCAATTTGACCAGCTTGTATCTTGATTCAAATCATTTGAATGGATCGATACCTTCACAACTTGGGAATTTACCAAACATGAATCCAAATGGCTTGAATCTTAGTTGCAACAATCTCTTAGGCCCAATCCCACAAAATTTGGATAATTTTCCAAATAGCTCTTTTTTAGGCAACCCAGGTTTACATCGTCATCCTCTTAGAAGCCCCACTACATCGCCTCATTCCTTCACTCAAAATAGCAATAGAAGAACAAACAACAAAGTGTTGAGATGTGTTAAAATTACTCTTCTCAGCACCATTTCTCTTGCCTTGGCATCTCTGGCATTGTTGTTGCTTTCTCGAAGAATACATAGAGCTAAAAGTAAGGAAGCAGTTTCAATTCCATTGAAAGGAGGGGATATATTCTCAATATGGAACTTTGATGGGAAGGTTGCATATGAAGACATTATTGCAGCAACTGAGGATTTCGACATCAGATATTGCATTGGTACTGGTAGCTATGGTAGTGTTTACAGGGTGCAGTTGCCAAATGGAAAAGTAGTTGCTTTAAAGAAACTTCACCAAAGGGAAGCTGAGGTGCCCACTTTTGACAAGAGTTTCAAGAATGAGGTTAAGATGTTGACAGAAATACGACATAAAAGCATTGTCAAGCTTCATGGGTTCTGTCTGCATAAACGATGCATGTTTTTGATCTATGAATACATGGAAATGGGAAGCCTGTTTTGTGTCCTTAGAGATGATGCTGAAGCTGCGGAATTGGATTGGATAAAAAGGGTGAATGTCATTAAAAACACAGCACATGCTTTGTGTTACCTTCACCATGATTGCATTCCACCCATCATTCATCGAGACATATCAAGCAACAATATTCTATTGAACTCAAAGTTGGAGGCTTTTGTTTCTGACTTCGGAAATGCCAGGCTTTTGGAGACTGATTCATCTAATCATACTGTCCTAGCTGGCACCTATGGTTATATTGCCCCAGGTTTTTTCTATCAACATAACATTCTTCTTCTATTGTCTTATTTCACAATTCACTGTTAAATTAACATGGAAAATGTGCACTTTACCTATGCAGAGCTTGCCTATACAATGGCTGTGACAGAGAAGTGCGATGTTTATAGTTTTGGGGTTGTGGCATTGGAAGTATTGATGGGAAGGCATCCTAGAGAACTGCTGATGTTGTTATCAAAACCATCTTCTTTGCAAAATGTGATGCTAAGTGATGTATTAGACACACGCTTGTTGCCTCCAAGAAGTAAAGCTGTTACCCAGAGTGTTGTTATTGCTGCTACACTTGCATTTGCTTGCTTGCGTGCAAAACCCAAATCCAGGCCAACGATGAAATATGTGTCTCAACATTTTGTTTCTCGCCAAGGACAACTTTTGAAGCCTTTTCCAACTATCTCTCTATTGGAGATTTTAAGTACTGATTTGGGGATGGAAAATGGAAGAGAACCTCAACCAAAAGTTGTATTGGAACTTACAAAACTAAATATTGATTTGGGGATGGAAAATGAAATAGAACCCCGTTCAAAAGTTTCATGTCATCCAGACGGGTTCCATGGTTCTTCCTCAAATTAGATCCAATCGAGTTGCCTTGTCCTTTTTTGAAAAAATAGATCTCTTTGTTGATTTCATGCTTTGGTTTTATGTACTAATAGGTTGGAATAACATCCTTGATATCGAGTTCAGGGAATTGAAGACCACCTTACTTTTGTATATTTCCCAACAAGAGTACTACAAATTTTTGGTACTGAAACACATGAATGCACCGATGCAGGGTTTCAAAACTCGGCAGACGAAACTGGCGGTAATTTTTTTTAACAGAATCCTGACTCCATCATGCTGTAACAAGGAAACTATAGTCCCCAAATGCTTCAACCTTGATCGCATAAGACATGTTAGACAAGCACTAAAGAAAGAGCATTAACTTTTTCAAACACAGCATATGCTACAAAAGAGCCCTCTCAATGTTTCTCTCCAGTGCTGAGCCCATTAGTACACTTCTGCTCAAAAAGGAACGTATCAGGCTTACCAGCATAATTTCCAAGCCCCACTAACGTTCCTTCTGTCTCTCCATGAAGAAACGCATAAACTAAAATGAAACAGAGCAGGGAGATAGGCATAGTCTCAACCTGAAGGCTGTCCAACGTCAGGTTTGGGTGATCGATGAAGATGATTATGGTTATATGGAGAAACATGAGGCCCATTTGGTGTAGGAATGCTCCTACTCAGTCGAACAATCCTAGATGGGAACCCTCTTTGCAGTCTACCGCCATTTCTAGCATGTCCAATGGACCCTGCTTGCTCTAGTCACATGGCTTGGAAGTGAAATGATGAGCAAGCCATGTCATTGAGATTTGGCAGAGGCTTCAGTGCCTCAACCACTTCACTCATCAAAGGTCTGGCTTTAGGATCACGGTTAAGACAATGAGCAGCCAATTGAATTGCTTTCTCTGCTCCTTTGATTGAGAAGCATCCACAAAGGTGAGGATCTATAAGTCGGTAAAAACTTTTTCTCTCTCCAAGATACAGCCTAGCCCATTCCACAAAGTTATGCTCCCCATTTGGTCGATTTTTGTCCATGGATCTTCGGCCTGTCAACAGCTCAAGAGGAACTACCCCAAAGCTATAGACATCACTCTTAGATGTCGGATGCCCTGGAAAAATAGAGTACTCTTTAAACTGTCAAATATATTTTCCCTTGCTAAGAAAACGACGTATCAATACCGACCTCAAACTATTAGATGGACCAGGAAAATGATGGAAAATAAAAATTGCATGGAATGTATATACATATAGTTTTTGAAGTGAATAAAAGCCGAACACATCATGGATCTGTTGCTACAACATTCCACCACCATATATTCTCACATCTTACACAGAATAATTCTCCAAACTAAAGAAAACTAGAAACAGATAATGTTGGTGATTTTGTGTGTGAATGTGTTGGGGGAGGGGGGTTTTAATGCCATAAAGCATGTCATTTATCTGTTCTAATCACCTGTCATTACATACTCAGGGGCAGCATAACCATAGGTACCCATCACTCAGGTTGATACATGAGTCTTATCCCCCGCAGGACCATCTTAGGCTAGTCCAAAATCAGAAAGCTTGGCATTGTAATCCTGGAAAGGAGTTGACAATCTCTTAGACAGCGATGACACAGGAAAAAAGAAACAGGAAATTGTTAACATTATTTAAGTTACACACAGCATGCAAAAGGATATTAGGTGTTTTGAAGTCCCAATAAATTACTGGTCCTTCAGGTTCCTCATGAAGAAAGGCAAGGCCCTTGGCAGCGCCAAGAGCAATTTTCATTCTTGCAGACCAGGGTAGAGGGAGAGACCCAGCAACATAAATCATATCCATTATCTGCAGCATTGAGTTAAATAGCCTGGTAGCAGAACGTCATTCAGTCATCAGGCAGCTAGCATTGTAAATCAAAACAGGAAGAAGAGGCTGTCAGGATAAGTTCTGTAAAATGAATAATTTCTTTAGAAAGTGCCCCCACATACAGAGCTGTTAGGCCTGTTGGTTTTTTTTTTTTTTTTTTTTTTTTTTCACAAAGAAATGGAGAGAATCGGTAGGAAGATGAAGAGCAGAATATAAATTAAAATGGAGAGAAGTATATCACTTCAACTCAATTTTTCTCATTAACAAACTCTCATATTTATAGGAGAATACAAACAATTCAAAATTCAAATCTATTCTACATTAAAAAACAATAAAAGCACATTTGAAATTTAAACAAATAACAGCTACTTTTGCCACCTGCTGCATCCTTTGGCAGCTTTGCAGCCCTCATTCACATGCATTTGCATTTTCATTTGCATTTACATTTCATTTGCTGTTGATTGCAGCTTCATCTTCATCAACATTTGCAGCTTAGTTTGCTGCACATTTTTGCTGTCATTTGACAGCTTCATCTCCATCATATTTGCAGCTAAATTGCTGCCATAGTTGCTGTCAAATTGCAGCTTCATTTGCTGTCAATTTTCAGCCTCATTGCTGCCATTTCATGGCAGTTTCATTTCATCATTTTTGCAGATTTGAATGCCACATTTCTAACAATAATTCCAACAAGGCTGTTCCTTCAAAGAAAAGAATTATTTTTTTTCATAGCATCTAACATGCATATCCATTTTCCGCATGTTTTATAAAGCCAATGATTTCAAGATGAATTATGAGAGAATTAATTTTCTCCAAAACAAAACTATTAACTTCAAAGAAAATTGTTTTCTCATCCTCATTTATAAATGAGATCACAAAGTTTCAATGGGCTTTAAACTCTAAATGAAACTCCTCGCTAAGAAGTCGTTTCACTAGAAAAGTAAGACCAACTGTATGTGGAAAAGTATGACGAAGTAAATAAATTTCTAGAAACAGTTTGTTAAACTAAATACTTCAAAACCGGTGATTCTCCAAGCTTCCTCAAGGCATAAACTCATAGACCGGGAGCCTTTGATCTTCCTCAATGCAGTAACCAATCAACTTGACCAAATTAGGATGCATGAGATCACCAAGGTAAGTAACTTCAGCCTGGCACATCAAGGATGTCACAAAACATCCTTCAATCAATCAAATGAATATACAAGGTTAAGTAAACCTAGATAGATGGAGAAGTGTCTTACAAGCCATTCTTTATGACCCTGAAGTCCATCATGGTTGAGGGTTTTAACAGCAACAGACAATCCTGTACCAGGTTTCACAGGAGTAGTTCCATTCTCATTGATCCAACCTTTGAAAACACAACCAAACCCTCCCTGCCCAAGAAAACTCTCAGGTCTAAAATTCCTTGTTGCTGACTTAAGCTCATTAAAGGAGAATTTCCAAAGCTGAGAAGCAACTTTCAGTTCCTCATCTACATTTGGAGTGGATGGAGTGCTTTCAACAGTGCTGGTGGTTGAAGCGGACACAACTGGAATAACTTGTTGGTCCCTGCTGGTATCATTTGTAGATTTACTCTCTGCAGGTTAACAAACAACAACAACAGCAACAACAATTATAATAATAATGCATTATATGTGTTAAGACTCCTTAGGCTATGATTTTGTCTTTATAGTGGACTATGTTCATTCACAGAAAAAGAAAAGAAGAAGAAGCACACAGGTGTATCATGATGTCAGTAAATTAAACACACTAAAACCTGAGTGTACATTTAAACCGCCTAAAGTGCTTCCTGTTTTTGTCCAACTTATAAGTTTCCAAGTGCCAGAACTAAAATTCCAAAGTGAACAACCTAGGAAACAAACAATAATCCATTCTGCATCACCCAATCACTACACGTCCCAGAGCTGGGAGCTTATTAATCAAGAATAAGAAATACATGTTTACTTGACAGAAGACAGACACGTTATCATCCATGTTAGTTATCTTATTTAGGCAAAGGCAAACCCAACAAAATTAATAAATGCAGGGATTTACTAATCTAACACCACAAAACAAGAATTAAATGTGATCTATTCATCTTGTCACATGTGGTAGACCAAAAGCATTGGATAGAAATCAAAGAGATCAGTATACAGGTGTAAATAACATGCTCACCAAACCAGATAATCAAATCAAATAAAGTATGCTTTAACATCCTCGTGGCACTAAACAACAGAACTAGCTTTTCATTGTACAAGAAAATAGCCATATAATTTGCCAACATGACTAAAATAGGCAACAAAATGGAGAAACTAAAGGAGATCAACGTGCCATTTGTCAATGATGCAACATATAACATGCTGGCCGATGCAGAGATTGTAATCAAATGCATTAGCATTATAGGTTTGAACAACTGCGTGATGACAAGGAAACATGATCAGACATATAATCCATTCCATAGCCAAATAATCAACAAGTATGTTACCAGAGAATCACAAAGAAATGATTGAATGAAGAATATAAGAAAAACTGAAAACAAAACAAACTAAGATATAAATAAAGTTTCTTACCAGATTGAGAGCTAGTGCCACTTACGGAACCATCCGCTTTAGACCTTGCAGATAAACAGCTTCCCATAAACCTAAACTTAATCCAGCTCCTATGGCCCTCAGCTTCGCAATCCTTCTTCTTCTTTCTGTTTGATTTCCCCACATTCCAAGCCCCCACCTGGATAGCATCAGGACCTAGTCTCATGTTGCAAGAAGAGAACCTTTCAAACTAAATTCCCATGTACCAGAATAGCTTCATTGTACCACAAACCATCCTTTACAAATTACAATCTCCCCCACCAGGCGACGTTGACAATAAAAAGCCACCAGAAAAGCAGCAAAACCTGGAAATGCAAAATAAAAAATTAATCAGCATCCTAGAGAACCCGCAGAAAGCTATAACCTTCGTGGAATTGAACAGCCTAAATCTCAACAAAACCTAAAATTGCATAAACCCAGATTACAAAAAACCTTCTAAATATTTATTGCCATTAAAAAATGGTAATGACCCAGATCAAGAAACGGACATGCAATGTAGGAAAACCATAACTTGAGAAATACCCAATTCAATAGCTACTTTAGGACCTAGAAATCAAACCCCAGAACAGGACACCAGCAAAAAGTAAAAAACAATGTAGCACAGTTTTCAGTTCATCGTCTAACTTACCAAGCCCATAGACATTCACTCCATCCACCGTACAGACGCATCAGGACCGAGCAAGACAAACAGAGCGACAAAAACAAGGGGAGAACAGAATCTGGAAATAGAATGTAGGTACGAAGCGGAGGTCGAAAATCGAAAAGGGCGGAAGGAGAAAGGAAAAGGAAAGGGTAAAACATGCGTTATTTGCGGGAAAAGGAGTGCGAGGAAGAGTGTCTCTGTGTTTGGATACGTGTGTTTTTTGAAACAGGAAAAAAGTAAAACAACCAAATCACTCACAAGCCACATGGCACGTACGAACCCAATTTTTGGTTTGAAGACAGTGGATGTTAAAAATAACTTAATTTATCGAAATAATTTTATTTATTAATTTAATTTAGTAAGTGATAAAAAAATTAAGACATATTAATATTAAGTATGTGTGAGATATAATATAAATTTTAATCTAATTAAATATATCATATATATATTTAAACATTTAAAATATTAAAATTTTTTGTTTTTTATTTTTTAATAATAAAATTAAAAATATTTTATAAGCTAAATTTTACTAAATTATAAAATATAAACACCTAAATAGAAATAAAAAGCCGGCCGGTTGCCTAATATTAAAACTCTCTTTTTTAAAAAATTTATATTTTATAATCCATACATCAAAGGACATGAACATAAATAAACTAATAAGTTAGCCAAATGCATGCATGCGTTAGGGGTTGGGCTCAAGACCAGCCCGTTAACTGTTGTCCAGTAGCCAATTACTTCCCTCACACTAATCGAAAACCAGACAAAGGAAATGGTTCAGAAAGGGCAAGCTCTGGGCCCAATGGCTCCCTAAATTTTTTCATCTGTTTTCTATGTGACAGATTTGTGACAATTTTTTCTGCTAACATGCTCAATTTTTTTGGTAAGTTACTTTTTTTAATAATAATATTTACCACATCTGCTTCAAAGTAGTCTTATTTGAACTTTTTGATTAATTTTTTTATTGAAACTTTTTGATTAAATTTTAAGTAATAAGTAATAGTAATTACAAAAAAATTAATCAAGGGAAACTATTTAATAAGAACTAAATATAAATTAATTTTTTTTTAAATTGATGTTCATATACTATATAAACAATCAAAGTTTGAACAACTAATTTAAACTGAAGGGAGTCCGCATGAATTTGTAGCTTTGGACTAAACTACATAATTGTTGTTTTTTTTCTCCTTAAATCCTTTCTTGTCCTTCCAAAATTCAAGTAAGGTCAGATTCTAACATGAATCTTCGAATTACATAAATACTCAATCAGTACACTAATTTTCAATCCTATTGTTCTCTCATTTATTCTCCCTCAACAAATCAGATGAATAACATAACATTACATGCATATTGAACCTTCGTTTCAATTATTTACAAGGTTCCATTTCTTATGCAATAGGAAATATGACGAATCTAGAATATTTAGGTCTTCGTGCTAACCATTTCACTCGTTCTATTCCTTCCACTCTACTTCATCTAACCAATTTGGAAATCTTGGACCTTGATTCAAATCTTTTAGAAGGTTCAATACCCATAGAGATAGGGCATTTAAAACTTTTACAATATTTGGATCTTTCCCAAAACAGATTGTCTGGACCCATCCCAACACAACTTGCGAATTGCTCCAGTTTAAGGGACGTGTTGCTGAGCCACAATTTCATTAGTGGAGAAATACCTTCACAACTGGGGGATTTACCATGGTTGAGAACCTTGAATCTTAGTTACAATAATCTCTCAGGCCAAATCCCAAATAACTTGCATTATTTTCCGAATAGCTCTTTCATAGGCAATAAGGGATTAGAGCATCATCTTACTTCCTCAAGCAACAAAGTGCTAAGATATGTTGAAATTATTCTTCCTATCACCATATTTCTTGCCTTGGTATCTCTAGCATTGTTGTTGCTTTTCCAAAGAATAGATGGATCTCAAAGTATGGTAGCATATTCAAGTCGAACAGAAAATGGAGATGTATTCTCAATATGGAACTTTGATGGGAAGGTTGCATATGAAGACATCATTGCAGCAATTGAAGACTTTGACATCAAATATTGCATTGGTACCGGTAGTTATGGTAGTGTTTACAGAACACAATTGCCAAATGGAAAAGTAGTTGCCTTAAAGAAACTTCATAGGAGGGAAGCAGAGGAGCCAGCTTTTGACAAGAGTTTCAAAAATGAGGTTAAGATGTTGACAGAAATACGACATAGGAACATTATCAAGCTTCATGGGTTCTGTCTGCATAGATGGTTCATGTTTTTGATCTATGAATACATGGACAGGGGAAGCTTGTTTTGTGTCCTTAGAGATGATAATGAAGCTATGGAATTGGATTGGATCAAAAGGGTGAATATCATAAAAAACACAGCATATGCTTTGAGTTACCTTCACCATGACTGCATCCCACCTATCTTCATCAAGACATATCAACAAACAACATTCTATTGAACTCAGAGTTGGAGGCCTTTGTTTTTTACTTTGGAAATGTTAGGTTTTTGGATCCTGATTCATCTAATCATACCATACTTGCAGGCACCTATGGTTATATTGCCCCAGGTTTTTTCTATCAACATAACAACATTCTTCTTCTATTGTCTTATTTCACTATTTACTATTAAATTGACATGTGAAATATGTAATTTACCTATGCAGAGCTTGCTTATACAATTGTTGTGATTGAGAAATGTGATGTTTACAGCTTTGGGGTTGTAGCATTGGAGGTACTAATGGGAAGGCATCTTGGAGAATTGTTGACATTGTTATCAAAACCATATTCTTTGCAAAATGTGATGCTAAGTGATGTATTAGACACACGTCTATCGCCTCCAAGAAGAACAACTATTACCCAAAGTATTGTTGTTGCTGTTATGCTTGCATTGGTTTGCTTGCGTGCAAAACCTATGGCTAGACCAACAATGAAATATGTGTCTCAACAATTTGTTGCTTGCCAAAGACGACTTTCAAAGCCTTTTCCAACTATTTCTCTGTTGGAACTTGTAAGTACTGATTTGGGGATGGAAAATGGAAGAGAACCTCATTTAGAAGTTTCATGTCATCCAGACAAGTTCCTTGGTTCTTCCTCAAATTAGATCCAATTGAGTTTCCTTGTCTTTTTATTTTTTTTAAATAAATATGTTTGTCTATTTCATGCTTTACTTTTCTGTATTAATATGTTGAAATCCTTCAAATCGAAGACCACCTTGTTTTGTATATTTCTCAACTAGAGTACTACAAATTTTTGTACTAAAACACATGAATGCACCAATGCAAGGTCTGGCACTCAGCAGAAGAAATTGGCTGTATTTGCTTCAATCAACCTTGATAGCATAGAAGATGTTCGACAAGCAATAAATAAAGGAAATTAACTTTTTCAAACACAGCATATGCCACAAAACCTTTTCAATATTTATCTCCAGTGCAGAGAGCCTGTTAATACACTTCTGCTCAAAAAGGAAACTATCATGGCTTACCAGCATAAC